ATTACAAAGGCTCATTCCTCCTGACCTACAGACAGGCTACAAGGCCAGAGGCAACCATTAATTTAGTTCCATCTGATCACCACATATATGTTGGAACCAGCCGTTGTCAGACAGCCATCAAGCAGCAGGTAGCCCTAGGTGAAACCACCTCCTTACAAAGCTTCAAGTAGTTTAGCCAAGTAAATGGGCACACACTGCGACCCAGGATAGTCCATTATGGATGGCTCACTAGGTTAAATGCTGCAGTTTCCCAGCTAAGCACAGAAGAGACAGTAGGTAGGAAGTAAAGGTATTTACTAGCAATTTTTACACTTCTTAGACAAAGAGAAGCAGTGATAGCCTTTACCCCTGTACAGCCACATGATAAAACACAGGTGGGGTGCCAATCTTCCAATGGAGAGCTGTCTTGTGAAACAAATACTGCACAGGTCTGCCTCACCTCACTGGATGTTACTTTTAAATGACCATGTTTCTCAAAAGCTTTAAGACAAGGTGTGGGTTGATGCGAGAAAGGAATTTGTAAAATAAGTAGGGGGATAAAAGCATTATTGTAATTGGAGCCACTTTGCTAGAGATCAAAACTAAAGCAGCAAACTCTCTGTAGAGATGTACCCCGTTATAACCAATTCTGAATCAACATTTATGGGGAACAGAAATTTGGAAGGGAAAAAACACCAGATGAAGTATAATGACCTCCACCTTTTAAAAACACATGCACAAGTCAGTCTGAAATGGTCCCATATCAACAGTGGCGATGAGCATACTGCTGTTGCAGTGCTGTCAGGTCAACTCTTCTTTGTTTGGGATGGGGGATGGTGGTGGCGGCAAGGCAAATCCTAGGTTTGCTGCAGTCTCGTCACCTCCCAAACAACGTTGAGCAGAACGTAGGCTGTCACCGCTTTCAATCCTTTCCTCTCGTCCATTAGTTCCAACACCCGCTTCTGGGTCTGTCGTGGCAGTTCTGGCCATCAAGGTCTGCTTTCATTTTGCTGGGGAGTTGGATTGCTAGATTAACAGAAGTAGGGCCAGGGCAGTGTGTCGAGGCATGCCATGTTTGGGGTGTGGGGCCGCAATAGCTGCTTGTTTTTAAGAAACAAAACCAACCAAAAAAAGCTGTCAACGCAGCAGTCCACTTGAACCACCCTGTCCAAGTACTTATTTATTATTTATTTTTTTACATTCCTTGTATAGAGCACCACGAAAACGCTGAAAGTCCACACTCGCGCAGTGCTGTCTAGTTAAGTCCAATGTAGCTTGGTGCTGTGTGTGCAACCAAAGTAAAACTCAGAAAGTGGCCTCCTGATGCCTGGGTTTCCCTATCTCCCTCCTCGCTCTCTCTGTTCGCCTCTCCTTTTATATTAGGTAGGGACCCAAACTCGCAATCACATTGTCCAAATTATAGCACACCAAAAGTTCCAGTTCTGGATTCAGTCTCTAAGTGCATTTCTTCAGGCTCCACATCCTTTCAAAAAAAACATTTAAAAAAAAAACAGTAACAGTGTTTTGCAGATATATTTCCAAAAAAGGAACTTTTTTAAATTCAAGAAAACCTCCAGTTTCAGTCTATGTACAACGTCTAATAAAGTGCATGGTTATTAAGGTGCTTCATCCAATGAAGAACAGAAGTACCCAGAGGATTCACCAAAAAAATTAAGTGAATTTCACACTTCTTGCCAGCAGAGGGAGCGGAGATCCTGGATCCATCACTGTGACCACCTGCCATGAAGCATGTTCCAGGTACGGTCGAGTAGGAGTCAAAGGCAGCTTTTAGGAATATCTTTTGTTTTTAAACCTTGTTTAAAAGTCATCCATTGTCTCTATTTCTCCCATGTTCAGTCGCTCTGACGACGCGTTCACAGAAAAGCCTGTGTAAAGAGAGAGAGCATGGGAATTAATTTAAATTCAACTTATTTCTCCTGCTTTTAGACAGAGTTTGAGACAGATTTATGCCTGATCATGTCTTTAGTTCATAAAGCACAGAAGGGTATGCTAATACAAGGGTTGTGCTTGGGGAATCCAAAGGCCTGGATTGTTAAAACAAGGATGATGAGAGTTCAACTCTCAACATGAAAGCGCAAGGAGCTGAATGTAAAATCTCTGGAAAACAGAATTTAAAAAAAGCTGGCAGTGGAAGTCACTGTGAAGTTATAAAAGTTGTCTTAAAAATACAGATTTGCTGAGGTCCTTTAAGATTGCTTAGTAAATCCTTACTTAGCCTGGTCTGCAGCCCACATATCAAAGTAATTGACACTCAACAAGTCTCCATGCAGAAAAGCAACAGCACCTTCACCTTGCACACTGCGGTGGCTCAAGAAGGAACACCACTGTCTCAGGCCAACAAATGCTCACCTTGCCAACAATGCTCACAGTGCAAGAATGTGAGATTTCACAATAGGACTGCAAGACGACATCAAGGACAAGCAAAGTTCCATTCTCTGGTGATTCATTTAAGCTTTCCCCTCCCTTGTCCAATGGATGCCAGCATCAGCTATAACTACCCCCAGGGTGAGCTCAGCTAGCTTTACACTGTACAAATCCAACAGATACATCAGTCAAAGTCATCAACAGAAGTGAGGTCATCCATGCAGGCCATCAAATCTATTGTGCATCTCCAAGAAACAATCCACTCAGTTCCATTCCCCTACTCTACCTCCCATTCCTGAGTTTATTTACTTATAGTGTCTATCTAACCTCCTCCTGAAATCATTACCTCCACTGTAGGCAGTGAGTTCAAAGTCATCACCATTCAATGCCTTAAAATATTCTCTTAGCAAAGTCTTACATGGAAACGGCTTTCCCTTGACTACCTTACCTAAACAGGTCAATCTTGTACACATCCATAACATCTCTACTCAATCTCCTTTGCTTCTAGGGTAACAGCTCTAAAATCTCCTCCGCATCTTTCCCAGGGCTCTTGCATTCTTCCTAAGTGTGGTACTTTGGAACAATATAAGTATTTTGGTAATCAAAGACAGCAGGGCAAGAAGCCAAAAAGCCAGTCAATTCCATGCACAGATGAAACGCAAGTACCATTAGTTCCTCAAAATCCATTGTTTCCTCCTCCTCCTGACTTGGGTTGTTTATCATTTTTCTTTATTCCTTCACCAAGTGCTGTCTTGTCTGCATTCCATGATGCTATTACATCCAACGAATAGGCCAAGCAGCCAAAACGCCTTCTCATTTGGCTTGTGAACTGGGAGTACAACTGAGGCGTGAAGGAGCAAAGTGAATCAGAGGAAGACTTCTTGCTTTAACTCAGAGGGATCTTGTCATGCTTCATTCTAGGGTTTGCAGGGGCTCTCCACATTGGATGCAGTAGATAGTATTCACACTGTAGTGGCACCACTGACATAAGGAACCAGTTTCCAACACTGCATAGAATGCAAACGGAAGCCAAACTTTCCATACAAAACGGACATTGCAGGAAATGATTATTCCCTTCTCGCTCATGAATTGCTCGATTTGGTGTTGTCTGGTAATTCCATCAAGACACGAGTAATAGAGAACTGAATTGGAGCAATAGGCAATTATTCAACTGTTGAGGAAGGCAGCATCATAGTTGAGCTCACTATTGTTGCTACTTTCCAGGAGTGGTCACTGGTTGCAACCAGCAGGGATTGCAACCAATTCTTCCTAGTCTTTGCTGCCCTATTGCTGACAGCTAAGCAGAAGCAAGGAACTGAACATGAGGCAGTCTCTTCTACTGTGAACAAACCATTTCTTCAAGCAATAAAGCTCAAACCCCAGCTCTACAATTACTTTCAAGACAACTAATTAGGGACGGGGCTGTGGGCAGAATGAGACAGTGGATTTTGCAAAGAAGCAAAAGCACCCAACAGAAAATATACACAGCTAAATGCATTGTGATGCACATTTCTGTCACGATTTAAGACGAAGCCCAATCTTACCAACATAGCACTATCCTATTTAACCTTTTTAAAGTCTTAGGGTAAAAACAAGAGTTAGATGAAATGAAGTCTCCTGTTACCTAACATCCCAAAAGTACTAAATGGGTGGGAACCAGAAAGGACTGGGAAATGTCAAGGTCAGTGAATACAGAGTGGGAAGCAAGTATTCAGTCCTGAATCTGTGTCCCTTCTCGGGTTAAAAAAAAAGTCTTTTATTCAGGTAACGTGGTCACTAGATTTTGCCATCAAAAATTACCCTTGAAGTCAGTGACTCGCTCATCAATTTCTGGAGGGCAGTTAAGGGTCGACCAATTTGCTGGAGTCATGTGTGAGCCAGACCAGGTAAGGAGTTTCCTTCCCTAATGGACATTGACTTGATGGGTTTTTAACGTCAACTATGGATTTGCTTTTAATTCCAGATATTTTACTGGATTAACATTTCACCATCTGCTGTGACAGGCATCAAATTTGTATCCCCAGAACAAAGGCCTGGGCTGCTGGATTACAAGTCCACCACTTCCCTCTTGCATAGTGGCAATGCAATCATAATGGACAGCGACTCTTACCCAGGATACTAGGATCAGCCCGCACCATCTTTTGCTTCTTTTTCTTTTTCCCAGCTTGCGAGCTCTCGTAAGACGATTGCTGTGCACTGTTGTGATTACCCTGGAAGAGTGACTGTAGGCTGTTTGAACCGATTCCCCAGATGGAGTCCTGGCACAAGAGAAGCCATCACACAATTAGTTTGTCACAATCCTTTTTGAGGGAGCAACTGTAATCAATCGTGTGGGTAGTGATGTTGCAACCGGCTTCAGTGCCCATGGGCTTGCTGGGGATTGGGAGTGAATGAGTTGCTAATGAGGACAGAGGAAGCACACAGTCTCTGTTCCAACTCCTGAGCTCTGGTGGTAGTCCACATGTTGGTGTGATGCCACAGGCAGCTCAGGCTGGGTGCAAGTACCCCTATTAGCGGTAAGATGGCAACAGGGCAACCAACATGCATAGAAATAGAACACTGCATCAGCTGGCATCTTCAGCAAAGGGAGCACTAAGGGAAAAAGCAGGGTGGAGTCAGTGACCTAATCGCAAAGAAACTGCTTACAGGACCCACCAACATGGCTCCACACAAGACAAGTCACGCTGGCTCCCCTTTCATTTCCCTCTCCCCAACCCATCCCAATACAACTCTGGCAAGTTATGGAATTAGTACCATTAAGTAGTCATGAGGCAAATGCTGCGGAAGTCTGGTGGGTGGTACGTGTTGTGGTTAACTGGGAGCATCAGTGGATGCTGCTTATGTGGGAACTATTCCACACATGCCCCTACTGCCAAAACAGACGGCAGGTTTGGAGCCATTTTGATTTTATGGCACACGAGGGCAAGATGAGGGCAAGTGACAGCCTTCAAAAATTTGCCTACTCATCACTCGATTTAAGCATCAAAAGTCCTGTTCTCAACACTGCTGTTGGCTGTACGTCACAGCCTGAGAAACCGCTACAGGCTGTGGCACCTGGGAAATCTAGCATGGCTATCAAATTTAGGATATTTTGCACCAAACTCTAGGGTGAGACAATTAGGTGGATCTGCAGCAACGTAATGCTTAAGCTGTTTCAATGGGTCACTTGCCCTCATTCAGCATCCATTTGATAGTAAAACCCCATACAGCAACAAAAATCACCTGCTGAAATTGACAGCATCTCTTCTGGCCAGCCACCACAACCTTAGATAATGCCATATTTTAGGATTAGAATTATTTTCCCCCTTTATCACATCCATTTCCACACACCCAAACCTCCCCCAGTCCTTGCTGGGTTCCACTGACTCCCAGCAGCACAACACACACAGCTTCAACTTCTGTAACTAGTCAGGTCTCAACCCAATGCATTTGAGCAACCTTCTTGAGCCACAGGTCATAGCCCCAATCTTGCCCAGCTCTCATTTGCGAGTGTTGCTCATGTCAATGTCAGGGTCCAACTCCAAGACTGCACTCTTTAAAAACTCAGTCCAAAAACAACACCGTCACTTATGTCCCTTCCTCCAACCTTACATTCGGTTCCTTCCAAAATATCTTTTGTTTTTCTTCCTCAAGGTGACACTGATTCATGCTATGCTTGCTTCATCAGATTATGACAATTTATTTTATACAAAATTCTTTTAACAGACAACCTTCCTTTAGCCAATTCCCTAAATTCTTTGAACACAACTGTTCCATAATTCAAAACACATACAAATAGAATAGGTAGACTAAGTTAGAATGGTCATGGAAAACATTACTTGTCACTCCAAGTACTTTATACCATCTTTTAAACAACCAAACAGCTTTCACCAGATTTGATAGCTATTAAACATCACCAAAACACAATCCTGCACTTGGGTCTGCTGTAACTATGGCAGTAACAAGCCAGGCTGGAAAGAAAAAGTTCCATGCTAACCTGTAACCTGTCAGGCTGCAGAGCGAGGTTCCCAGTGAGGCTCAGAAGTTCCTTTGTTAACTAGGAAAGAAAGGGAAAACACCATAAATCCTCAGGGAATTGGATCCCAATGCGATGTCCACTGCACATTACTGTGGCACATGACTCAGATACACAATGCATCTCTCAGAGGCCAGGAAACCCACAAGGGAAAGAAAAAAAGATGGACGGAGATTTTTTCCCAGAACTTGCCCTCAGAACCAGAGTACTCAGAAGACGAAGAGATTATTCAGGATCAGGCTAGTTATCAACTGATGTTCACTGACATACAACCCCTTTCCGCACAACCATAAATAACCCAAAGGGAAGCCTTAATCAGTGAGTCAATGATTAATTATCAACATGACAGCAAGGAACCCCATATTATGTTTAGTAATAGATTTAACTCTTTGAAGGATGTTACTTGCACTGAAGACAATTCAAATTTACTCAGACCCCCTTCCTTCCTCTTTGCCAGCATGGGTTTTCGCTCCAATCCTTAAACTATCCCATGACCAAGAGGCAGATAAAAATCAGACGCAAGCAACCAACAAAAAGAGTACAAAGACTCACTGTATCCGTGCTTCATCAAATCCAATATGCGTTAACCAAAAAAAGCTTTGTATGTTGTGTGGATGTTTTAAGAGTCTGGGAGCCCTTCATTGACAATCCTATCCACAGACGCTTAAGATCACAGCTCTCACACCTTGAACAGGCTTCATTCTCCAAATAGACATTGCAGGAATGCACCACAGTTGATGCCGTACATGATCTACTATTCCAAACTGCCTGAAACCCCCAGGGCTCGCACCAATTAAATAAAGCAGAGAGCTAGCTCTCTGCAAAATTGACAAACAAGTAAAGAGAGGAGTGTTATCTTTAAAGACAGAGGTAGAGGTAAATAGCCCAACTACTGTTTTAAATATCCACTCCCTCCAACCCAGTGGCAGTAGTGTGTACCATTAACATCGATACACTACAACAACTCAAGATTCCTTCAAAAGCTGGGGTCTTGACCACTGAGAAGAACAAGGCTTGCAGGTGTCAGAGTATACAATCTTCTCCAAATTAGGGGGGAGATGGTGGCGTGGTGTTGGTGATAATAATGTTAGTGAACTACTCTGTTAGAGACCCCAACTAATGCTTCAGAGACACGGGCTCAAATCCCAGCACAGTAGGTGGTGGAACTGAAATCCAATTAATAAATCTGAAACAGACATCTGGTTTCATGATCACCATTCCTTCGGCTATTGGTGGCTGATGTAAAAACCCACTTGTTTCACATATACACTTCAGGGAAGGAAATATGTTGTCCTTACCCGATATAGCTTATGTGACTCCAGACCTACAGCAACGTGACTGATTCGCAAAGCCTCTGACGTGGCCGAACAAGCCACTCAGTTCAAAGGCAACTAGGGATGGACAACAAATATTAGCCTTACCAGCAACATCTATGTCTCATGAAAGAATACAATAAAAAAACTTCTCACTGCTCCTTTCAATACTGCAGGGCCAAAATTCTGGAAGCCCTAACTGCCATAATAACATCTTTATCACAAGAACTGTAGCAACTCAAATAGGTGCTCCACCACCACAAGTTTTTCAAGGGTGGGGGTGAGAATGGGCTGAATGCCAGTAGTTAGTCTTGCTTATAATTTCAAGAATGAATTTTTATTTAGGCAAGTATAAACACCTCAAAAAACTTAACCTCTACAAAAAATATTTCAGGTTTGTGATTGAGGGCAATCACCACTCACTTGGTGGGACGGGGGTTTCCACGTTATGTAGGGTTGTCACAATGCTCATTATGGAAGCAGTTTTTACAGCCAGGTTGCCCTCTCTGCTGCTAACCGTCTCCGATTATTCCCAGGCTGGGATTCGTTGATCAGGAAACTCTTCTGTTCTTTCCACACTCCTTTGGCAGAGGGTAAGATTAACAGGGCTGGCTATCAATGCTTGGCCATGTTACAAACGCAACTTCAGGTCCTGCAATGGGACTCAAACCTGGAGTTTCTGGCTCAGAGGCAGGGTTCTACAAAACTTCTACTTTGGGAATGAGTTAGGCACCTCACAGTACAGTACCCATGTGCATTGCCTGGAAGCCTGCCCTTTCTAAACTGATGCTACTTTGGCATACTCTATGATGCAAGATGGTTTCCAAGGCCAAGGACCTACTCAATGGCGTAATTGTGGAATTAATTGCCTTCCTGTTCCATGCTGGCAGCTTGTTATGATATTTTCCCTAATATTAATCAACCTCTGCTAGCTTTGTAAACAAACAAAAGAAAACTAAAGACACGTTAGATAGACAACAGATTAAATGCTCTATCCAACTTCACATTGTGGAGTGCAAAAGCCTGGCCCCAAATTCTGGCAACCAGAGCTCAAAAATATAAAAAGACAAGTGCAGACTCTAGGTTTCATGATACTATTGGTGGCTTTTTCAGACACACTAGTTGACATGCAAGTGTAATGGTGGAGAATGGCCTTTCTCTGTGCTGTAATAATTGAGATTCTGTGAAGCTGGGCTACTCTCCCACAATGTGCAGAGGATGTGGAACCAAAGGAAAATAGTCAACGAATAAATTAATAATGAGCGAGCTGGAAAATTTAACCCTGGCAAAAGTAAAGGCAGAATGGAGAAAATAGGAAAAGAACAATAAAATGAAAAATTGCCAGTTTTTGAAACTGGTTTCAAACCTGTTTGAAACAGGAAACATAACTCCATTAATCTGATGCCAATTCATTAGGTACACGTGCAAAAATAAGTAAGACTTTTGCAAATTTATGGAAGATGCATTCTGTTGATGGGAAAGCAGAGCCTGCCCTGCATGTTTTATCATTCATACGCTACCTGCTGTTGTTGTTGCCTTTGCTGGTTGGCCTTTTGTTTGGCACGACGCTCCAGGAACTGCTTGGCAAACTCTTTGGCCTCTGGGGTGTCACCCAGGTAAGCACGGATGTAATCGTGCACCTCATATGGCGAGTCCACTTCTTTAAGGAAGGATACAAACGTGGGTACTGAAACGACAAGAAAACCCATAAGAACCCCGATGAGGTCAGCTTTCTAAACGAGAAATTCTGCACATCCAAACCAAAGACCCACACAAACCAGGTTTACTTTCTCTCAGGTCCAACTTAAAAGTTGAGTCTCGGCAGTTGCAATTCCGTTCTGAGCGAGGATGGGGCTAAAAACCATAGAACCGCAAAAGCCAGTGTGGTAAAGGGAAAAAATTAATACTGTCCTGAGCGAAGGTTGTTCCTCTGAAGTTGAGATAAAACAACAGCAACTTTACTTTGTAATGCATGGCCTGGGATTGCTCAATATGGATACCAATCACCTAAAACATGCACTTGGCTGTTGCAATGCTTTGAAAGTACAAAGCTTCACCAACTGAAGGAAAACTCAACCAAACCCTGAGTAAAAGAAATTAGGATGGGGACAAGCTCTTTTACTTACTATCCTTCAGCATCCAAGTGAAATTCCAGATCAAGATTTTCACAATTCTATTGGATGCCAGAGTTTGCTAACAGAGCAACGTGGAAACTCAAACAGAGGATGGGATGGAATCACTCAGTGCGGAAACAGGCAGCAAGTCATGCTGTGAATGGCTTCACATCCATTGCCCCTAATACACCAAGTCAGTGAATTGCAAGCAACGTGTGTACCATGGTGGTGGGGGAAAGACTGAAGGACAATCAGTTTACCACATGTGGCAGCAACCTGAGAGCAATCGGGGGGCAGGTTATTCATCACCCTCTCATTAAGGTGAGAGGGCCTTTATTAGACCTTTATGGAAAAACTTAGAAATATAGTTTCATTATGTGTGCCGTGCAGAAGCACAACCCCTCTTCCACAGTCACACTACCCAGGAAGAAGCCGAACAAATTGTTTCGTGCTTGTGAGACCCAATGCAGGAAATTTTACCTTCTGATACAATCAGGCTGACAAAACAAAAAACCTGACAAATCTTTGCAGTAGGATTTCACAGCACAAGATCCCAAACCCCTACTTAGCTACCGGACTACGTCAAAGGGAGTTAGACTGAAGAGAAACAGGCACCATTTACACATACCATCAAGGTTATTGGCTGTGTTAAGGACATGCAGCATTTGCTCGCACCACTGAGTGAAGCCGTCCTGAGTTTTGCTCATTCCCTGGAACAGCTTCAGTAACTTCTCCTCCTCTTCAGTCTTCTTTTTGCTCGGTCTGGTAGGAATTCCATACGAGTCACTGCAGAAGGAATTTTTAAAAAGAGGTTTGTTGTCACCCATACTTCAATATGTCAACCAGATAAATTCAAAACATGACACTCCTCCTAAGTGAACTTTAGAAGTAAGTTACATAAAACTGAAGTTTTGAAACTATTACAAGCTCCTGGTTTTCTAACTAAAGCAAAACATTGAAGTCAGTACAAATGCAGGCCGTTTGACCGATTGCAGCAGTACTGGTATATTTGAAATCTCTATTTTTTGACCGTAACCCTGTTGAGTTCCTCATTCTTAGGTACCTGTCCAACTCCCATTTACAATCTCACAGGCAACTGGGTTTCCATCACATTTTCAGGTAGAGCGTTCCTAAAACGCACACCTCACACAGCTCTTTCTAAACCTTTTGACAACACAAATGTCCGTTCAACATGCACAATCATTTATTAAAACAAGAGAAGAGAGTGAGCACTCAAAATGACCTGGAAAACAGAGACAAACCTCAATGAAGGACTACTCCTGCTGTTCTTCAGTCCAGCACTTCTAATCACAGGGCCTGTGCTCTTCACAGCTTCGTCTCCCCAAAGGCTCATGTTAGAGTTCTTATTTTCGTGCATGCTCCACATGCTGCTCATATCAGACCCCCACTGGCCAGGCAATCCCCACACTGATGAGTTGTTCATAGGCATACTGGAATGCTAATGGCAGGCAAAAACAAGGGCACAGCAAGTAAATAGCAAAGATATGGAAAGACAACACGGCAATATGCCCGAGCTATTGTCTATGAGGTTGCAGAACCAAACTAACAGACCAACCCAAAGAGAAGTAAACCGAAACTAGTTAGCAGGTGCCTCTCCATTTCAGACAAACTGAGTGGGAATTGGGAGAAGACCAGAGGGCAAACAAGTACTCCATAAGGAGCAAGGCAAGAGGAGAGGGCAAGGCACTACAGCCAGCTTGAGGAGAGAAAACAGAACAGGAGAGATACAGGTGGGGAGACACAGAAGGAGGGAGAGAGAGGAGAAAATCTGAAGAACAAGGTAGAGGGAGGGAAAAGGCTGATGGTGAGAGAGAACCATGAATGTGAATGATGAGGAAGAGGAACAAGATGTGGTAGAAGGGATAAGAAAAAGACAGAAGGAAAAGGTAAATACAAAATATAATATCAATAAAAGCTTCTGAATTTTATCAAGAAATAGCAAGATCTGGAGTCAGAGACAACACAGTGTGGAGCTGGAGGAAGACAGCAGGCCAGGCAGCATCAGAGGAGCAAGAAATTTGACGCTTCGGGTCAGGACCCTTCTTCAGAAATTTTTTTTTTGAAGAAGGGTCCCAACCCGAAACGGCAACTTTCCTGCCCCTCTGATGCTGCCTGGCCTGCTGTGTTCCTCCA